GAGGGTACGAATCTCCACGGGGAGCTCGTTCCAAAGGGTCGGGGCTACTGCTGAGAAGGCCCTCCTCCTTGCAGTTGCCAGCCGACACTGGCTGGCCGATGGGATACGGAGGAGGCCTAATCTATGGGATCTTATTGGTCGCAGGGATGTAATTGACAGAAGGCGGTCTCTCAAGAGGAAAGAGCCATATGTGGCTCCAGAGCCGCAGTTTGCTGACCCCTGGACTATACCTTTCTCAACAAATGGAGCCAAGGATTGCTTCTATCTAGAGTTGGGGTGTCAAACTTAATTTCGTTGAGGGCCGCATCAGGGTTGTGCTTGACGCAGAGGTGGGTGTTTCCCCCAAGCTCCATTTTCACTGGCAGAGGCACCATGGGCCAGTCCTTTGCTGTTTCCAGGGCGGCCCCATGGGGCAGATCTAAGCATCCCATGAGCCCCTCATCTAGAGGATTAAGGTCTGACAGCACTTTTGCTGAAAACCAGTAGTAACTGCCATTTTTCAGCAAAGCTGTCTAAAAATGCATGTGACTGCAGGACATCGCAAACAGCCATAAATGCAACCTGTATGCTGAGTAACTGAAGTGCAGTCACATGACAATGGAGGTGGTCACCCATTAGAATTTCAACTCTAGGTCATAAGAACCCACCAAGTAGCTTCATCCATACTTCAAACGGTCACTAAGTGAGCAGTCTCACTTAGGTTACCTGTAACAGCAGTCACCATTTTAATTTTTGGACCTTTCCTTATTGACAAGATCCTTTGCATAATAATGAGGCTGAAAGAATGATCTCCATTCCAAAGTACTATTTTCTAGCTATTTTTAGGAACAGGGCTCTTATTTTCACAAAAATAAATCCTACAACGGATACATTAACTACAATCAAGCATTAAATGCAAGGGGTATGCGGCCAGCATAGGATGAAAGTGTACTTTTTGGTATGGCAGGAGAAAGTTATATAGATTTTATTTCAACTTTTCACAGAAGTTCAAATAAATGTGTTTTTATGAGATTAAGCAGGAACAGCCAAGACAATGGATGATTTTCCAGCTAAGGACGCCACATAAAAGGTCATTTTCATATTTAAAAATACAGCAAGATGCATAGCTGGGCATGACTAGAAGACTACAGAAGGAGACATGGCTATGGCTATTTGCTAAAGAAAATAGGATCAGGCATAATTAAATCGGCCGTTAAATGATATAATTTTAGTTGAGAAGATGGAGGCACTGTCAAGATATGAACGACCAACTTAATGACATTAGTCCAAATTGCTTGGCAGATATGATGTCTGGACCACAAAGGAGAGAAGGGAACATCCATTTATTTTATATATAGTCATAATGTATTGATTATTAAGATTAATATTTCATAATGAGAGAATCCAAAAAAGGCTCTAAAATCAATTCACATGGCTACTAGATTGTGCCTTTGGGAAGACAGCAAGGCATGTCTCTATTCTGCAGATCTTATTATTCAAATCTTTCAGAATATATGGCACAGTAAAGGTAAAGGTTCCCCTTGCACATATGTGTTAGTTGTTCCTGACTCTAGGGGATAGTGCTCATCTCTGTTTCGAAGCTGAAGAGCCAGCACTGTCTGAAGATGTCTCCATGGTCATGTGGCTGGCATGACTAAACGCTGAAGGCATCAAAATGCTTTTACCTTCACACCAAAGGTAGTTCCTATTTTTCTACTTGCATTTGTATTTTCAACTGCTAAGTTGGCAGAAGCTGGGACAAGTAATGGGAGCTCAGACTGTTATGCGACATTAGGGATTTGAACTGCCGACCTTCCTGATCAACAAGCTCAGTGTCTTAGCCACTGAGCCACTATGCCCCTATATGGTGGGGACATTTACAAAATAACTGTGATGGGATTCACAGGATACGCAACTTGATCCGCCTGCTAATTCCTAATAAATACTTATTTGGATAGTTGGAAATCGACATCATGCTCAAAGGTAAGTATTTTGAATGCAAGGTTTTGAATGGAAAAACTATCCTCATGTTGACTACCCTTTGATGTATGGGTACCTCAAGCTTTTCACAGTCAAGGATGTGTCCATCATTTATCAATCAGGGAGTGTCTATGAAGATTCTCCGTCATCCAGGTCATGGTTATCCCAAAGATGCTTTTTCATAAGGCAACTGGGCTTTCTTTGTTTTTTTTCCCCTTGAAAACATTGCACTTCTCATCCAAGAATCTTCATCACCTCTGACTGAATGCTGGAGAATGGAAGGATTTATATTCTTCTACATTCCTGTTTACAACACAGTCCTTTCAGCAGTTCCGAGAAGGTTCCACACCCATTTGCACTATTCAGGTGAAACGGAGGGCACAGATTAATCTCCAAGTGGCCTCAATGACTCTTAGAAAGAGTACGAATGGCTAGATGGCTGCAACTCCTTCCATTCACTACCATTCAGTCAAAACCGAAAAAAGCTTTTTTGGATGAGGAGTGAAACATCTTCAAAACAAAGAAAATCCAGTCGCCGATGGAAAAAGCGCCCTTGGGACTACCAGTCAGAGAGTGATTTGAGTAGCTACTGAAGTTAGGAAAGGCTGCTTGAAAGAGAACTGTATGTGTGAGGTTGGAACTGGCATTTGAGCCCACACGAACAGCAAGGGGTAGGGGTCAAGATCATTGGCATCTTGCAAAATGACTGCATAAACCCAACTCCTGGCATTGCTTCTAAAGCTAACTCATCCCACTCTTGAGTAAGAGCATCCACACCAAAGAGGCGTTTGAGTAACTCAATCCCAGGGTATGGAAATTTCGGAATGAAAACCTCAAAAAGACACATCTGAGGGGGCCTGAGGATTTGGTTGCAAATAGTTTTACTTAAACACGCAAATACAAAATTGGCATTTCTGGAAGCCGATCCCAATAGTTCACCATTGCCAGCTTCCCAATGTGCCATGCAGAGGCTTCAAAACACCTTGGCAGAAATCCATAGCAAAGAACATCACAACCTTACTTCTTTTCTCTAACAGCAAGTTAAACAAATGCCAGGCTCCACAAACTGCTGTGCTGGGCAACCCTTTCAGATTCTTCCATGTCACAAAGTTGGCCTTAATTACTCATGATTTAAGCCGACCGAATGCAGATTCATAGTATCCCCAAAGAGGAGAATAAGAAGGAAGGAAGAACCCCCAACTGAGCAGACCCAGTGCTTAAAGTGCTGAATAAAACAGGAATAGACTGAGGGAAGAAATCTATCTCATTACTTTCAACCAGAGGCACCAGGAACTGAACCTGCATGTAAAGTTGGTGTTCTGCCAATGGGCCACCAAGTATCTCCCCTGAAGTAATGAAGGAAATCTGGATTGCATCAGATTCCTAAATCTATTCCAATATTGTCATTTTCGATTTACAATAACTCAACAGAACTTCAGGCAGAAGGCAATGAAAGCTACCAAACTTAAGCGCTAGGATTCAGTTTGAGGCCTTTGCAAACCATGTTCATAACCATTAAGGAATAATCTTTTAGCAATAGTAATAGAACTTAGACTTACGGTATATACTACGCCATAGTGTCTTACCTGCTCTCTAGGGTATATTGTCCCCAACAATCTGGGTCCTCATTTTATTGACCTTGGAATGATGGAAGGCTAAGTCAACCTCAAGGCCATCAGGATTGAACTCCAGGCTGTGGGCAGAGTTAGCCTGCAATACTGCATTCTAAACACTGTGCCACCAGGGCTCCTTTTACTTGTGTGGAGTACTGCAACTGCTCTTCAATAAGACTTGCACCAAATCAAGGCTCATACATGCCCTGGGCAACTTGCAGCTGGGCATGCACCATCCCCATTCAGTCATGGGTCCAACATTTTTCTCCTATGCTTCTCTAATGTCGCCTTCATTTCAGCCCCAAGATATAAGCAAGATCATCCTAAACTGTCCTTAGTTCTACTGGTGTTAATCATCTAAGGACAGACCTCAAGGTATCTCAAAATCTGTTAGATTTTCTTCCTAATCATTTTGGAAATAAATTAGAGAACCACAGTGTCAGAGAACAGAAGCAGGTAAAGAATCAGAAATTCAGAGAACAGATTTCATGCCAGTATGGTTTCTGCCAACTCCAAGAGTGGCGGAGAGCAGTTCAACTCTTTCTGGATTCTGAGATGGAATTAAGGATTGCTCATTACATTTCAAGCAATGCAGGCAACAAAAATATATATATTTGTTTTGCAATTGAATCTGAACTTGTTAAGAAGATGCATTCAAGAGTTTTTTCTGTTCTTTGGGATGTCATAAACATACCTGTCTACTGTCTATATGACCAAAAAATTAAACACATGCTAATATTCATAGTAAGGAAAGCACCAATAGTAAGGAGGCACCTTGGGTTCAATCCGAAACATCTGGAGCACAACTTAAATGCCATCAGTATTGACAAAATCACTATCAGTCAACAGCAAAAGGCAGCTTCACTTGGAACAGCTTTCATTCTCTGACATCACTTTAACAGTGTCTAACAACATCTATCTATCCCTAGTCCTTGGGAAGGAGTCAATATGTGGATAAAAATGGAAAATCCGGTTTAAACATCTGGCTAATTGTGTGACTAACCATAATAATAATAATTTCAATCAGACTTACAATAAGATCCTGTCTGGTTTTGAAAGTGCTGATGTAGTAATTATAATGGGAATCATCCATCTGTCTCAAGGTGGCTGTCATGCAGGATACAAAACTTCCCTAGAAAAAGATGGAGGGAAAAAATCCTTTGTCATTTAAGCTTTTCATGAACCTTATATATATTGTAAGTCCATGCATGTTATCATCATCATCATCATCATCATCATCATCATCATCATCATCATCATCATCATCATCATCATCATCATCATCATCATCATCATCATCATCATCATCTTTTAATGACCCCATAATCCTTGCGGGGTGGAGTTTGGGCAACTGACTCCATGTTATGCCATATGCTAAATAAATAAATCCTGGAAAGGATGTATATCTTAAGATAGTCCTTGTGGGTTTCTTAAAAGGCAACTAGTTAGCCCTTGTGAAATTTAGGATCTGGACAAGATGGATCACAAGAGACCTTTAGTCATTTAGAAGATGATCAGTCTTGAGAGGATAGTGTTCAAAGCCCACAAGAAGATACACTTGGATGCGAGACAAAATATTCAACTATAAAATATTCAACTACAGCTATCTAGTAGCTGATCCTATATATCAATATATTCTTTTAAAATTATATTTTAAAAAGTTACAACAATTTTCTAACTTTTGTTTTTCCAACAAAAGTTTAAAAAAGTATTTTTGTCCTGCCCCCATCCAGAAATGTGATGACAGTGTCTATTCTCACTCCTGTTGCCTCCAGGCACTGAAGGAAGAAGTTGAGATAAAGAAGATCTTCCATCTCTTGTCCATGTCAAAAAAATCCCCATGTTTAGGCCCTGGGGAAAATGCCTCTGTGCATTTGATACGTTGTCCATCAAGTGTCAAGAGGTGGAAGAAAGACCACTCTCCAATGTGTCAACTCATCAGGAGAATCCATGGCCAGACTCCTACCAGAAGTCTCTAAACAAGGGACATATACCCCTAAAACTCATGGGACAATTAATCAAGCACACAAGAATCAAGGAAATTGCTCTCACAATGTGTGTAGCCTGCCTTCCCATTCCAATCACAGTCCGGTTTATCCTCCTTAGCAGCCGTTCCATGATCAACTGTATGTGATCCGCAGTTGGACCCTGAAGGAACCAAAGAAATGGAAAGTAAGTTAGATGGGTTCTTATCACAGGGATTTTCACAACATTGTCACAAGAGGTTCTGGAGAAGTTCTTGGGGTGCAAGATAATTCCCAATATTATGCAATTAGACTGAAAAGGGAAGGGAGGAGTTCCTTTCTCTGAATGTCTCTTTTTTGCCATGCCTCACTTGCTAAACAAATCCTTCCCTATTCCATGATGAATTCCTTTCAGAACAAAAGTTTTCCCAGGATAGCCTGGTGATATTAAGACCAAGTTAAAGGTAAAAATTCCCCTTGCACATATGTGCTAGTCGTTCCTGACTCTAGGGGGCAGTGCTCATCTCCATTTCAAAGCTGAAGAGCCAGTGCTGTTCACAGATGTCTCTGTGGTCATGTGGCCAGCATGACTAAATGCTGAAGGTGCACGGAATGCTGTTACCTTCCCACCAAAAATGGTCCCTATTTTTCTACTTGCA